ATCAGGCCATTACCTTGTTCGAGGAATGTATCCATCAATATCCACAAAACTGTTCCAAATGATGTGTCTTTTAACAGTTTAATATACGAAAAAGTGATAAATCTTTTCAGGTATTGGTGTATACATGTAGTCTCATTGGTCACCCAAGATAGCACACCTGGCAACTAATTGCATAATGTCCGCCTTTCTTTAAAAACAGTAATTTAGTTAGCCGATAATGGGCAATCAATCAATGTATTGCCGGTTAATCCTTTGAAAGAAGGACGTTGTTTTTACGCAGACACCGACACGACAGAGTGTATTCAGTATAGATTAGTAAATCTACATACATAAACACTACCTTTTGACAATTCCGCTGTGTAAGATAAAAGTAATTAATCAATCAGCGTGTTATCGGTTAATCCTTTGATCGATGTTTACTCCAGACACAAGAAATGCCAAATGGGAACCTTTGTCGGGTAATCTAAGTGTGTTACCACTAATTATACCTGTTATAAATTCATTAACTGACCATCAAGTGAATTATGACAAATAACATGTGTAGGTTTATACCACCTAACACGGGTTACAACGAGGGAGTATTAATTGCTGTATTGCATGTGAAAACTTATGGGCCGACACTGTTTTGAGAATACAAACAGATTTTTACATGACATGATTAAATATCGAGGTAAAACAACACAGAAACGGGATCAATTTGGATCAGGCATTATACAAATAGGGCCTAACGACACCAATCGATTTTGACAGAATCGTCTATGAAAACAAGTTGTAACTCGGAAACTAGGCAAAGCAGGAGACAAAATTAAATGACAGTAGATTGTGAGAACATATAGCTTTCATTTTCCACAACAATTGTCACGATTTCAGGTTTATACAAGCCTGTAAACACGATAATTTACCCCCTAAAATGTAGATGAATTCTGCATCGGCTCTCAAAGCTATTCCTCATATGACGTCACAGAGGCGCGCCGCTCTGATTGGTTGAAATTTCGTTCGCGGGTGAGAATTGTGCACTGTTGTCAAAAAGGTCGATTTAAGTCAATTAAAGGTCGAAATGAGTAGTTTTAATGACGGGGTTTCATTTACAACGATGCCAGTTAGTGATTTATGTATTTGTACCCCCTAGGGTTTATGTGACCTTTAAAAACGACGCCTGTATCGAGATACTGTATAACCTTTTCACCAAATGTTTTGATAGTGGCATCACTCCAAGTGCATGGAAACAGTCGATCATTAACCCTTTAGTGAAAAGTGACACCGATGTGCGTTCACCTCGAACCTATAGAGGGATCTCCCTAATATCTGTACCCTGCAAGATCTATTGTGATGTCCTCAATCATCGTGTCTCATCTTGGCTGGACTCTAGTAACATTTTGTCAGATTCTCAAAACGGATTTCGCAAACACCGAAGCTGCTTTGATCACATATACAGTTTGTACACACTGCTGAAGACTAGGCTGGATTGTAAGCAATCAACTTATACTTGTTTTATCGACCTTAGAAAGGCTTTCGATAATGTGGACAGGAACTGCTTATGGTTGAAGCTGCTACGTGCAGGGATCAACGGGAAGATGTTCTCTACCATACAGTCTCTCTACCATAAAACCTCTAGTGCAGTACGTGTCAATAACCTTATGACGTCATTCTTTCAAGTGTCAACGGGGGTGAGGCAAGGCTGCACCCTGTCCCCCACTCTGTTCTCCCTCTACATCAATGACCTGGCGGAGGAGATTACCAACCTCAATGACGGTGTATCTGTAGACGAACTCTGTGTCTCCATATTACTGTATGCAGACGATATAGTTCTATTAGCCCCAAGTGAAGACAAACTACAGCGAATGTTGGACCTTGTGACACGGTGGTGTTCTAGATGGCGTCTGAGTATTAACACGGATAAGACAAAGGTTGTGTACTTCAGACGGTTTAACATTGATAGATCTAATTATCAGTTTCGATGCTGCAACACGGCCTTATCATACAGTGATTGTTACAAGTACTTAGGACTGTAGTTTGAGGAACACCTTGATAAAAAGTTCACAGTAAAGGAGATCGCAAAAAGTGCGAGCCGTGCTCTGTCTCTACTCATCACTAAATATAGACAATGTGGTGATATGGCATATGATGTGTTCACAAAACTCTATGAATCAACAGTGCAGCCTATCTTACTCTACTGTGCACCTATTTGGGGACTATATGGACAGCGTGAAATAAGTAACATACAAAACAAAGCTGGTCGTTTCTTCCTGGGTGTACCTCGTAATACGTCTAACTTTGCTGTTCAGGGTGAACTTGGTTGGAGGACTTGTCTCACTAAACAGCGGATAGAGAGTTTCCGTTGTTTTGTCAAATTGTATCATATGTCAGAGGACAGACTTACGAATAAGGTATTTAGGTGGTCCATGAATCGAAAAGGTTCTTTTGCTTTTAACCTTGTTAAATTGGGTAGACAGTTGCTGTTGTATGATACTTTGTTATCGCCGACTTCTGGTATCAATTCCAAAATATCAGTCATTAAACAACGTTTGTGTAGATTAGATGAGGAAAAGTGGTTTTCAGAGCTTTGGGACGACAAAGGCAAGGTTAACGGTAATAAGTTACGCACTTACAGGTTGTTTAAAAAAGATTGTAGACCAGAACTGTATGTAAGATATATTATGTCTAGACATAGGAGAAGTAATCTAAGTAAATTACGCTGTGGTATCCTACCTCTTACTATTGAAAATGGACGTTATAGCAAACCCCCCACACCCATAAATCAAAGATTATGCCCCTTTTGTGACTCTGTAGAGTCTGAAGCCCATTTTCTTTTAAATTGTGCTTTTTACCATGATCTTAAAAGTAACTTTATAGACGAATTTAGTTTTAGCCCAGATGATAGTCATCATCTGAAATTTATTATGATAATGAATACTACTGAAATCAAGGTTCTTAAACTTTTAGCTGATGCTATTAACGATATGTTCCGTAGAAGGCAGTTACATTCTTAATATATCTTACCAATGTACTGTTTTATGTATGTCATGAATACAATCGTCCAGATTGTATATTGTACATTTTTTAGTTAAATTATTTTAGTAGTGTCTCGTAAGCCAATGTTATGGCTGGGTGATATGTTTTATCTAGGCATATGAAATATTGTTTTACCTGTAACATATCACGTGACACTTTAATAAAATATTTCTGTCTGTCTGTCTGTCTGTCTGTATATATTCATTGCAAGATATGTGCTCAGCACTAACGCGTGTGACATGAATGTTTATATATTCACATTACTAGTTATGGGCTCAGCACTAACGCGGATGACATGAATGTTTATATATACACGTTACTAGACATGGGCTCAGCACTAACGCGGGAGCGGTCTTCCAGGTTTTGGACAATCCTTTACTTCACCTGCGGCCATGGGCGGCCTCCCACGTCCACTAATAAACATAATCAAGTTAGCACAGATGTTGCGTCAAGACATCCCTGCGTCATGCATTTCAGTAATTTGCCATCGAGTATTTTCCCGTCTCATAAATCTCAGCTTTACAAAATCTATACAGTTTGGAGCGTAAGATGTGTTATAGTCATTAGACGTGCCTAGTTGAAACACACTGATCCTTTGATCCTCTTCGTTCTAAAAGGAAAGGTGGGATAGCCCAGTGGTTAAACCATGTGAAAACCCTGGTTCGATTCCCCACACGATTACAATGTGTGAAATCCATTCCCGGTGTCCCCCGCCGTAATATTGCTGAAATATTGCTAATAGCGGCCCAAACTTTACTCACTCTTGGTTCTAAAACATAACTCTGAACAATTTTAAACGTTTTTATACCCGAAAACATTTTACAATGTATACATATAATAGCATCTTATGGACATTAGTGTTCAAAATCCAACAGTGTAGTAAAAGCAGAGCAAAATGGTCAAAACATGGGGACACAGTTCATGACAGAGACAATTTGATATTTCAACATAATAAGTCTGTAAAAATGAAGACTTCATTTAAAGATAAATATTGCATTCTCTTTTTTTGCGAAAAATCATATCAAAAGCGTTCATTTTATGTTATGTTTTAAGTTTTATGCAGCCATTAATAGGCATGGTGACAAGAATATTAGAAAATAAGTTCGTCCTCTTTTTCGTGTCATATAAGTTCATAAAAGCTCTCATACACAGGGCGGTGGAGCAGTATAGCTAGTGGAAGACCTATGTTCGATTCCCCACATGGGTTCAATGTGTGAAGCCCATTTGTGGTGTTCCTCTGCCGTGATATTGCTGGAATATTGCTATAGTCCGTTTGGCTCAACAGCGGACCGGATGTTCCTCTTTTTATTTTGAGGAAATAAATTCTGCAAAATAATCACAGAGTTGGTCTGATGTTTTGATTATGGTCAGTGTTTCATTGAGTATTATATGTTTAGTAGTTTTCGAGTTAGATTGCAATTCATCGTTCCGCTTTTGAGCCAAACGGACTTTAAAAGAAGCGTAAAACTCACTCACTCACTCACTCACTCACTCACTCACTCACTCACTCACTCACTCACTCACTCACTCACTCACTCACTCACTCACTCACTCACTCACTCACTCACTCACTCACTCACTCACTCACTCACCACTCACTCACTCACTCACTCACAGCTGTCATGGCTACTTTGACTGTCATTATACTCTTGGTGTGTGACTTTGTGAACAGTACCCGTGAAAATCCGGGTTAGAATATTGATCTTCAGTAACCCATCCTTGTCGTAAGAGGCCACTAACGGGATCGGGTGGTCAGGCTCGCTGACCTGGTTGACACATGTCATCGGTTCCCATTTGCGCAGATCGATGCTCATACTGTTGATCACTGGATTGTATTGTCCAGACGATTATGTACAGACCGCCGCCATATAGCTGGAATATTGCTGAGTGCGGCGTAAAACTAAACTCACTCACTCACTTGGTTAATAGATGCAATATTGCTGATGCGTCATAAAGCAACATGCACTCACTCCCGAAGGCGATATTTGCATGAAACGATCATGTATTTCATCATTGAATTCGTAAAAAAGCGTATATAAAAATATCCATTCATCTTTTGGACCCAGTCGCATCAAACAATTCCACAAAGTTCAGGACTCACAATCCGTCTCCAGAATCTCTCGGCCAACTCCGGGGATATTTGCTGTGCCAATATTATCTTCTCAAACACAAAGCTACAAACGTCAGGGGCGCTCTTAGGGTGTTTTTCATAAAGCGAAGCTGGTATGTCCAAATGACGGGCATTGAAATGCTTGGCTAGGATTCCTGTGATGAAAGCATCTTCAATGTTTACGTACGGGAAATAATTAGACACATTGAGGATATTCAAAGCCAGAGCCTTTGGCATCACATACATATTACCCTTCACGTGAGGAGGATAAAATTTAGGCGGGTAGGCATCCTTGGAAACTTTGGCTTTGAGAAGTTTCCTGTCCACTGATTCAGAGAAGGCCAGCGGTCCGTATATGGTGTTTTGCATTTCCGTGGAAACCAGAAGGTTTGTTATCCTTGGAATGTCGGGGAAGGAGTCTTCATCGATCTTCATCACGAACTGTGCGCCTGGGCAGAACGTTTTCATCCATTTCAACCCTGACAGAACCTTCAGCGTCAAATTGAAGTACGACTCCGCGAAGTCCGCCATTACAATGTCGCCGTGCACTTCCGCTTCTTCGCGGACTTTCTTATTTGTTTCATTGTGCGATTGCGTACCGAGAAGAAACACAAGCTTTGTTTCGCCATATAACTTTTTCTTTGGCCATGGTTTATCACGAGCGACGCTCCCCCACGTGTTTCGCACGCTGCTCCTTTGCTTTACATGGTCATGCATGGAAAGAACCATTATCAACAACAGAGGACTACTTTTCTCCGGACAAACATCGATGGCCTTGATGGAGAAATTGTAGTCAGTCGGCGTGATGATATCACGCCTAGGCGTAAACACTTCCGGTGATGAAAGTAGTTCCTGGTGGCCGTAAAACACATACAATGGATTGACGGCCTGTTTCTCACACGGGGTTACAGTTGGAATGGGACAAATATCGCTGCAGTTCTGTTGGTCGTGATCCTGGTCCCGGGGGCTGCGGGCTGTTCCGTTGTCACGGACTTTTTTTCTGGGTATGAGGTCGATGGTGAAGAAGATGGTGAGCAGGACAAAGAGGTTGAGGGCGGTGATGGAGAGGAGGTGACGCCTGGTGAACTTCCTCAGCGCTGGTATCCGGAACGGCATTTCTGGGAAATAAAAGTTCCTGATTAAGTGTCGTGTAAATATCGCTGTAACACAGGGCGGTACCGGAAAGCGGATGTTCCGCGATTAACTGTGTTGAGCGAGTGAGTGAGTTTAGTTTTACGCCGAACTCAACAATATTCCAGCTATATGGCTGCGGTCTGTAAATAATCGAGTCTGGACCAGACAATCCAGTGACCAACATCATGAGCATCGATCTACGCAATTGGTACACGATGACGTGTGTCAACCAAGTCAGCGAGTCTGATCACCCGATCCCGTTACTCTCCTCTTACGACAAGCATGGGTTACTTAAGATCAATTCTAACCTGGATCACCGTGGGTCCACTGTTGAAACAACTATGATGACTCCGCCGTGATAATGCTGGAATATTGCTAAAAGCAGGATAAAACTAATCTCAATACTAACTAAAATGACATGACGCCATTGTCGCTGTTGCCTAGCCCAAAGCTCACTGGCCATCTCAAACCAACTATATGTCACAATGCTTATAGAGAAATGATAAATAACATGTAAGGTGTTTCAAATCCGACAACGATGTTGCTTCTAGTGCTGTAACATTCCTAACTACTCGTCCCTTTCCGTAACCTGAAAGTAGACTTGTACCCCTCTCGTAGCCATTTTATTGAACGTGGCTTTGTCTGAGCGCAAAAGCGCAGAGAAAAAGAAATAGTCTAGTCGCCGAACTATTTTCAAGGGCATGTAACTCTAGTTTACTTGGAAAACACAAATGGCATGGCATCTACGCCAAGGAAATTACCTCAAAGGGTGTGTTTAACATGCTTATATGCTTTCCTACGCCATAATGTTAAAATATCCTCGTTATAAAAATTCAGGAAACCCAGGAGGACTATGCAGTAATTAGAATATACTTGAAGTGTCTGGGCAAAAGTTATGCAAGGTGAAATGAAAAAATATTTCAAAGACCTATTTTGACCCAATTTCTTCTCTACATACGCGCATTCTGATTGGCTGGGGGGAATATTTATCCCGGACATGGCTACGAGACGGGTACGAGTCTACTTTCAGGTTACGGAAAGGGACGAGTAGTTACGAACGGTGCTGTAACAGTGTCTAATGATTTCTCCCATATATGACGCAATGTCTGGCGGCACATACCCAAGCTCGTAGCTTCTTCAGAATGAACAACAAATATTTGCATTAATTCGGATCGACCTCCCGAATGATATGACGTGACGTGACATACATGAAATATTGTTCAAAACAGCGTTATCTCGCAACAGTCCGTCGGTTATACTCCAAAATACTATGTCCGGTACACAGCTTCTCCGGCGTGTCCTCATTTCCACTATATCTCCCTTGCCTCTTCAGCTAGCCGGATTCATTTACATTCAATTTCAACGTTTTCTAAAAAAATTAACCTTGTTTAGTTTTTCTGGATAGTAGTTGCACATTAATAAATTACGGTTCCAATTTCTAAATGTCTCTAAAAACCAAACATCCGTTTGATCACACGTAACTGTAAATTAATGTGTTAGGTTTTTCCGTGTTTCTGTAGACGTTCACGAATGTAAAATACTTTTGGTGTGTCGTGGGTGGTAACTAGTACTATTGTACTACTCCTGGCCGACGTCACAGTTTGAAACACGGGTTCTTATTTCATTCGTGACCAACTCGTGTTATTCCGGGACAAGCGCATAGCGCTTGCAGGTTACGGAAAGGGGCGAGTGGTGACGAATGGTTCTTATTTGTGTAATTTGCAACCATTTCACACAATAAAACGGGATTGAATGATAAAAGAATGAATATTCCATAGAACTGTGTTCAATCAATGATGTTTGTGTTTGTGATGTGTACAATCTCATCATAATGTGAGACTGAATGAACAAAGTCAGAATATACAGTAGAAGGTGGTCAATAAATCATGTTTGTATTTGTCATATGTGCAAGTATGTAGAAAGTAATTCTCATCACAAATTGAGGCTGATTTTGTTGTTATTTGTGCAAGCACTTGTCATCAGTGAGGGCAAACAAGGTAGCCTGGTGGTCAAAGTGTTTGCTCGTTGCGCCGAAGGCTCGGGTTCGATTCCCTACATGGATACAATGCGTGGTGTCCCCCGCCGCGATATTGCTAAAAGCGGCGTAAAACCCAACTCACTCTCTAAAGGTTTTATTCATCATATTGATGTGAAAACGCGACACATTTTTCCAACATCAGTTGTGTTGAAATTCGTCATCTCTTGCCAAGTGTAATAAAATGACACGGATTCCGAACGAGTCTTCGACCTGTACTGCAATAACCGGTAACGTGATTTCCCACAGAGAAAGAAAGGATTTCAACGCCTAAAAACACCCTATCTACAACCTGTTCACACGGTTAACTACCAATTTCATCCAAATAACAAATTGCTGCCTTTGTTATATCCTTTGTTATAACCAAGCGCTGACACCTTGTATGCACAATGGACTATTGTATAAAACGCAAAACTTAATGAGTTCCTTCACCTCATTATACCTTCACCTGTTGCTCAAGGACACAAATGCAGTCAACTGTGGTTGAGGTAGGCACAATGGGGTGTTGGCTATTGTCTAATGCAGATTACTTAACAATTAGAAGGCTAACCCACCGCCCCTTCTTTTATTATAACAACAGTTTTGACATTGTGTATTCACCCGTGAAGATCAGGGTTAGAATTGATCTTCAGTAACCCAGGTTTGTCGTATGAGGCGGCTAAAGGGATCGGGTGGTCAGGCTCGCTGACTTGGTTGACACATGTCATCGTGTCCCAATCGCGTAGATCGATGCTCGTGATGTTGGTACACACCTGATGCTTTGATGAAATATTGTCTTGAAAACGGCATTAAAATTAACTTAAACACAAACATTGTGTACGTGTTGCAATAACACTAGATATCTTACCCAATTACAATGTTGCTAGCAAAATATTTGTTAATTTGGGAATAGTCTCAATACACCAGGTGTGCACTTTCTTTTGTACATCAGTATAGCTTGAATATTGCTGAGTGCGGCTTAAAACTAAACTCACTTACTCACATTGTGTATTCATAACTGTTTCTTTTCAAAGCCTCGTATATGTGTACTAAGCATAGCTTTATCAATATTGATTCCACTGTTTTGGTCATAAGAATCTTCAGTCTAGTTAATTGTTTGAAAAACGACGAAAAAACAACAATACTATAGACGACAACTTGTCTTATACCATCACGAAAAATAATTTAATCGTCTTAATGGCCGTTTACGGAATCTCTTGGCGAATTAATTTCCTACATAATTTAACAGCTGAGTAGAAATGTCATTTACATCCAGCATTTGCTGTTTATATTTCAGAGACGATGAAGGCTGATTCGATCGAAAGCTTTCATTTCGTCGATATTGCAAACAAAGGTAGAACGTTTGGACACTAAGGGTTGTTGATTATAGAGTGTAACACATGCCCACGTTGAATAGTGCTTGTTATGTCACTGAACACATTTGTTACGTGAGCTAAACGACCATCACCTTCGTGATAAACACTAAAACCTGAGATAAAATATCAAGCTACATAGGTATGGGGCGGGGAGTCAAGTGTTTCCTTGCATTAAAGAATTGAATTGCTCTAACATAGCTTGCTATTTAATATGTAACATCGCGAACTGTACTAACTCACGGGATTGTCCCAGAACAACAATAGCTTAGATACTTAAACATCAGGGGTTACGTCACTTGGACTTGTTAACAGGTCACAATACCCCAGACAAGATTATCTCGGCCAGGTGATTCTTTCATGAGGCCAATGCCAGCCGGCAAACTGAGAACCGGTTACAACCAATTTGTCAGTTAGACAAGGACAACCTTTATGGCGTCTTTGAGTGGTATTTTAGAAGTTGGGAAGTACAATTTAGGCCAAACGTTATGGATAACAACTTCTTTTATTCGTGAGTGCTACTCATGAATAAAAGAAGTTGTTGTCCATAAAGTTTGTTCTATATTGACAAACATTATTGATGAACAACTTCTTTATTCAGGTGATGCGGCGTTTCGATACAGATTCTTGTATCTTCGACAAGCACACCCACCCACCCACCCATACATCCTTCCCCAACCCCCACCCCACACACCAACCCTCACCCTATAAAATCATCATCACCCCCTAGCCATAAATTATGAACGTTTACAAGAGTGATGTTTCGGATTCTTACACCGTTGTCAAGCTCAAAGACAACGGTGTAAGAATCTAAACTGAAACGACACTCTATGCAACGAACAAGAAGTTCGCATCTACAAAGTTGTAGAGGTTGGGTTGAGCAAGGAAATTATAGCAAGAACAGACAAGTAAGGTCTTCAGGTGGGCACATTCTACAGCGTACAGTCCTACCTTGTGTTGTCTTGACTAGCGGTGACTCGTAGCCTCCAATCTATCCACAATGCAACACAGGATCTTATGTAATGTGTGGTTACACGTAACGAGCAATGGAAACAGAGGGACCGAGGGGATTAGTAGCTGACTGGTGGTATTGGTTACCGGATACATGACACGATGTGAACCCGTATGATCAGTTATTCTCTCAGAGAAACCACCCGTGAAGATCCGGGTTAGAATTGATCTTCAGTAACCCATTCTTATCGTAAAAAGGCGACTAACGGGATCGGATGGTCAGACTCGCTGACTTGGTTGGCACATGTCATCGTATCCCAGCTGCGTAGATGCATGCTGTGCATTGTGCCCGATTATTTACAGACCGCCTCCATATAGATGGAATGCTGCTAAGTGCGGCGTAAAACTAAACTCACTCACTTTCAGAGAAACCACCAACGACAAATATACTGAGGGAAACAAATAAGGGAACACCACTTCATGGCAGTGTTCCTTTATTTTTCTCTGAGATTCCCTGAGATTCAGCGCTATTCAAAGATGGTGATGAAAACTGGAAAATATTAAAGGAACACTTGGATTTTCCTGTGTTCCTTTATTTGTTTCTCTCAGTATATAGATGAAATATTCCTGAATGAGGCAGTGTAAACAAGAGACATAAGATTACATATAACATACTGGATATACTGAAATATCGAAATAAATCTGCTTTGTTTGTTGTTTAACGCCGCACTCAGGAATATTTCAGCTACATGGCGGCGGTCTGTAAATAATCAAATCTGGACCAGACAATCCAGCTATTCACATCATGGGCATATGCATAGCAGAAATATTTCTGACCGAGGCTTAAAGCAGTGTAAACATCGGTCATGAGATCACATATCTCTGATGCAAGCCACAAATGGAAAGCGGATACTTGTACCCTACTGCTAGTCCATTGCGATTCGATAGTTAGTTATATATAAGAAATATAACTGTTCAGCGTGTGACTATGTCTCCCATCATCAAAAGACACAAGCTCACCACTTGACTGATCTGAGTGCGCGCCTGTGTGCATGCGTTTAGGTTTTCGCAGCTTTTAGCAATATTCCAGCAATATCACTACGGGGACACCAGAAAATGGGCTTCACACATTATACCCACACAAAATGACATTTTAAATGTTCACATTCACCAATAAATTCAACTTGCCATACTTGTACAGACATGGTTTTGTATGAAAATCAGTGTCGTTTTTTCTAAATGAGCAATGGGGAACATTCCTGGAGTTGCGCCCCCTTGCCCGCTTGGAGCGCTGCGGTAGTTACGGTCCAACAGTACCTGTCACTCTGATACTGGCATATAGGCCTGCCTATCGGCCAAGCCTAAACTTAAATCGACATTAAACCTCCTTTTTACTCATCACAAAATCAACATGGATTCCAATCATTTTGTAGTTTTTTATCAGTCAAGGGATAATACGGGTCAGAAAAAATCATGTTTTTCCATCGTGGTCACCACGACAAGTTTTATGTACGTGTTGAATACCCATCATAACAAAAATACAGGGGTGCTTGTTCTTTGTGTATATACTCATTGCAAGATATGGGCTCAGCACTAACGCGGATGACATGAATGTTTATATATACACATTACTAGACATGGGCTCAGCACTAACGCGGGAGCCATGATTATGTATATACACATTACTAGACATGGGCTCAGCACTAACGCGGATGACATGAATGTTTATATATACACGTTACTAGACATGGGCTCAGCACTAACGCGGGAGCCATGATTATGTATATACACATTACTAGACATGGGCTCAGCACTAACGCGGGAGCCATGATTATGTATATACACATTACTAGGCATGGGCTCAGCACAAATGCGGGTGGCATGAATGTGTATATATCATCAGTACTGAGTAGATATCATATTCACTAGCGAAACATGAATCACTACTTACTCGCACTCAGGAATATGAACCCAGGAATATACAGGACAGGAAATGGTCACGGAAGTGTCTAAACCACGTGTCCACTTGCCCAAGCATCCGCTGTAAGGAAGCGGCACAAAGTCCTATATTACCTCCCGAAATGCTGAACGCAGTACAAGAGAATCCCGTAGATTTTACACATCGTACAATTCAACTACCAATGTTCCAACACTAAGACATATCACTTAGCATTCATCAACAAATTCTCAATCAATACGGAAATATTTACTTACTTTTCTGTCACGAGCGCATGGGGGTTTGAGTCGTAAACATCCTCGTTGGCTTGTAAGGTTACAGATGACGGTTCACATCTCGTCTCCATAGTTACAGTTGGACGCGTGTTCACGTGATTATTACCCTGACCAGTAGGGCTGTAGCTAATGAATTACTGATGTGTTTGCATAGTCACTTCTCAGTGGCGGGTCAAGAGAGCGAATGTGACGTTTTAATTAAGTCGGTCTTCGGCGTGTTAGCGTTGCTTAATCATTGAAGGCAGAGTTGATTGGATTTTATCATGGAGCCCAGCTTGTTCTGTCTGAAGGTAAAAGCCACCCTGCCACGCGTGTCCAGAAGGAGTAGGACGCCTTTACTGGTGTTTGGTTGGTTTGGTGTTTTACGCGGCGGTCTGTAAATAATCGAGTCTGGACCAGACAATCCAGTGATCAACAGCATGAGCATCGATCTTGATTGACATGTGTCAACAAAGTTAACCCCCTGGCTGCCGAGTTTTTTTTTCAGGCGCACATTTTCATACGCTTTGAAAAGTGAACGTTGTGCGAGAATTGCGCTCGCGTGGTCCTGGATCTACGTACGGCTATAAAATTACACAGAAATGTAGAATACTAAATTTCCTATCCGTTGGTATTAATATAAGTGCAACTTCCTCGGCGGTTTGAAAAATAGACCTTGCTAAATATTGTCCAATTTTTTGTTATGCGTTAAAAAACAGTAAATTTCTCCGCTTTTTATCGCGCACCCATAAAAGCACTGTGCTACAATTTTTTTATTTTGGCATCTCTACGGAAAGTGTGAGCGAAGAAAATACAGCCTGATATCTGAACGACATAAGTGTATATGAATTGGATTTATGTGCTTATGCATAACATTATACGCTCAACATTAAAAATGACTCGCAATAAATGTCAAAAAATGGATTTTCTTCTACGACGTCAAACGACGACAGAGAGGTCATACACGTATAATGATAAGGGGGCATAACTCCGTTATTCTTAACACGAGGTCAATGTAACTCTAATTACATGGAGAGTATTTGTTGTGGATACGGACGCTATATTTTCGTTATTGTTTGTTCACGGTGAACCAAACTATTCCAATTCAAAGTTCCCCAATGTGAGCGGATACGCTTTGGTAGTTTCACAATTTATAAGAAAAGATGACAAGGTACTACATTTGAAAGCACGTAATAGCGATTTGGATGGCCCTATCCGATATATAAGTTAGTTCTTAGATTCCCATATTCTCCTGTTTGTGTAGATGTATTTTGACTAATTTTGCATCGTTATTACCAGAATACTAGCCATATCTTCAAATGTAATGAAATTGCTGAAAATAATACAACATTTTAGTTGACGTCATTGCTTGTTTTATGCATTTTGCGACGTCGGAAAGTGACGACATTGGTATTCTGATTAGTATATATCTCACCTAATTTCCATTAATTGTGTGAAAGGTCTCGGCTTCTTTTTCAGAATTAACACTCTTTAGACGAAACATAAAATGACTGTTTTTTTTCATGTTAAATAGTGTCCTGAATATATCAACAATTAGACAGTTTGACTGTGTATCTTATCATGAGCAACACGCGCACCTGTTTGGCATCAATTTAACGTAAATGAAAAATAACATTTCACAACACCTGAATATTTTGTTTAGGATAGGAATTTACTTTATTTATGATTATGCAGCTATTTCTCTTCATACGTATGCAATGGAAGATGCAAAAAAGATAGCTTTTTATATATGGAACTAGTACGTACTATGTATTAGAATATGGATGTAAGATTTGTCCAAATTAAGACATGACATGCTTTATACATTTTTAAACAATTTTCGTATAAATATAGTTAGAGTTTGATATCCTGTCATCACAATATTTTTAAATCGAATATGAATTGATTATATTATCGAAAACAATGATAGTGAATCATAAAACGTTTCCGACAAACGCGCACCTGGCCAATCAATTTACATCGTTGTTTTCTCTATAAAACGACACAAAAATGTGCAATGAACAAGCCATTTCCTTTAAATGTGTGTGCATATACATTTCATAACATACACAAATCATTTTCATTAAATATTATCAGTTTTACTTATAAGGTTTAATCAAATCGCCATTCATTAACCTGTTCATGTGAAACTGCGATATTAGTTCAAATGCATTGAATATTGTACATCATAGGAACTAAAGTAATATTGCAGTTATGGCTACGTTTGATCTTCTAACACTTGTGTAAAGGTTTAGAATATGGTGTACTGCACTAAATGTGTCAATTTCTTATGTAAATATTATTCAAACAATCAAAACCTTTCAAAGAATAAAACACCGTAAACCCTATATGCAAGTATGATATGATATTTGACAAGGCTAAATGTAGATACTGAGGTCAGTTTCATGAAAAAGTATCTGAACTATCCGCAAAATATACATTATAATACTGACAGTGTAATCGGAAGGATTGGGCGATTGTGTTTACTCTTGTTCAACCGACCTTCACCTCAAAGAAATGGCCTAATATGTACAACAATGTTGACGTATGACATCACTACCGATGACTTATTTCTTACAAAATGGCGGCTTTGCTGACAAGGATAGATACGATTTTGCGAGGACTCTTCCATTGATTCAGGGATCGTTTGTACATCAATATGAGATGTAAGTAATCAGAATGATTCTGACTAACTGTGTATTGTTATATGTTTCTATCGTTTTCACTGTAAGTAAGAGAAGAAGCCAGAAATGCTGATATATTACAGTTGTCGTTCTGCGTGATTTTGCGCCAGTCATGGCGTCACGCTGCACGGAAACTTTGACAATTTCTTATGAATTATCAAATCATTGCATTGTATCTATTTATAATTTCCTATTTCTTACTACGATACTCTTTCCATGCATATTCAAAAGCTATTGCAAGCTATGAACAGACGGATGAATGTTGGAAAATTTCAGAAAATGCTACGCAGTGTAAAATCGGAATTTGTCTTTGTTTACGTTTCGAACCAGCGCAGTCTTTCGAGCACAGCGTTCGTTTTCACACCCAATATGTTTCGTCTCATTTTATCTAGACAGTTGGTATTGGTGACACAGACCAGTTGCAGTTTGATTCTAAAATGTATGGGGAATTCAGTGATGCATTGTTCGAAGCTGAATATGAAATATACGTGATGTAATAGGCGTCTCAATACCGGCCTTCGCGAAACGTGATTTTGTAAACACTATCCAATATGGCGGAAAGCGCTCTACGGCGTTCGTGTAAGTGCATTTTCGAAAACATCCCAACCAATTCTAGATTCATCGGCAACGTTTCAGAATTATAATTAGCGATTTCATGTAAAACTGATATCAGTGATCATGAATAGGTTAGTTTTGAAATTCAGTACTCCCAGGAATTATCCGATTTTCACATTTCAAAACATACAGCAAATAACGCTGTGAATCGCGATTTCGTACTGTGTCAAAAATGTCGCCACTTTCGATGAAGCCTATTTTGAAAGGTCATTTTCAGCACTTGAGCTTTGTCTAAAATAATAGTGGATGGTATCAAAAAACAGGAAATTTCCCGCAGAATTCGAAACTGTGAAGTGTATTTGTGTGCGTGGGATATTTTGATTTTTATTCGACTTCAAATTGAGGGTTGAAGGGGAAGGACATATATGTCCCTGTGGTATCCAGGGGGTTAAACGAGCCTGACCACCCGATCCCGTTAGTCGCCTCTTACGACAAGCATGGGTTACTGGAGATCAATATTCTAACCCAGATCTTCATGGTTCTGGTCGAGGATCGACTATTCACAGACCGTGGTCATATACTAGCAGCTGGAATATTGCTGAGTGTGATGTTTAACAACAAACAAACAAAACAATTTCGGTTTCAGTGTCAGGTTATCGGTTGTGTTATATGATTTACACAACAATACAACCATTGTGAATACCACCACGCGGACATTATAAATATAGTTTCGACATTTTACTTCATCGGGTTATAATGCTACAAACATTTGATGACATGGGCAGAACAAACTGGGCATCCAATGTTAGAAGCTTGCTATTCAGAAACGGGTTTTCTCATGTCTGGTTAAACCAGGGCGTTGCTAACGTGCAGCTATTCATGTTGTAACGGTTCAATGGGGGTAAAAGGAGAAAAATAAATTTTATTTAAGTAGCATGTCGGTTCTGTGGACCACTCTCACTTTTACCCTGTTAATTACAGTTTTTACCAATTAAATAATAACTTAGCAACATGAAGTTGAAACAATGAACAAGAATTTATTACATATAAATTTATCAAAGTCAGTAATGTCAAATATTATACCAACCAGAACAAACTTCTGGTTAAGTAAGTTCTGTCTCAAACAAAGCTTGGATATAGTATACTTACATAATATTGTGGTGTTCTCAGTAGTATATAGCAGGTCGTCAGACGGTAGATTTGGTTGAGGGAGGTTGAGGGAAGGGTACACACTCCGGCACAGCGATGGCTTAACATAACATCACTGCCACAGGCTAATTTGCATATCACGTGACCGGACTTTTCTCTTGTTTGTAATCAGACGCGCATATTCATAATAAGAAGAGACTGGACTCACGAAAGCTTTTCGGCGCTCTCTTCATAATTTTTTACATTGTTACATATATATTCTTCCACAACTGCGACAGTTAGGCCTATGACAGTACATATTTAGATATCAAACTGGCTGCATCGTTTGCTCTCCGTCGGCTTCGATGACAGCACGTGGAGCCGTACAACCTATGTAAACAAAGGATCG